ATTTCATGAGCAGCTGGGATCACTTACTGTGAAAGGTCTATCTGGTTGAAGGGTAATTCTCATAACCAATGCTTACTAAGTAAAAAAAACTAGGTAAGCAAACAACTCCTTCAATACTATCGAGAGAATGGCTCTGACAGATCACTTAGCGCCCCTGGGATTTGGTCCCCACGGCGGTTTAACAACAGGCTGGCTAAGACACTCCCTCAAGCCCTTTCAGTTCTCAGATCCAAAGACACCTCCCCACCCGCGACGGCATGTTGTCCTTACCGAACCACACAGACGGGCAGCTCTCAGAAGCGATGCTAAGCTCAAAAGCCTCTCAGACATGAAAAGGGAGACATCTAACAGGCACGTGGATACACAAATGTGGGCATATAAATAGTTTACATGTGTTTTATTGTTCTCTTCAGATCTTCAGTATTTTGGGCAACTTCTCCCTCATATGCAACTGTGAGATAAGCTCACAGCAAATAAACTGCACAGACAAGGTAATATTTAAAGGACTGCTATACTTGCCAGTGACTGTGAAGAGTGAGGGTTGCAGCCAGAGAGTAGTCCATCGCAGAACAAGGATTCAAATAAGCAGCTGGAATTAGGCCCAGGAGCAAAACACTGACAACCCTCTCACCAGTCCAGTGGAGAGATGCAGCCTTGGAACCAGCTATAGAAAGGAAGGACGAGATTCCAAAGAGTTTCAGTGGAAATACACTTCTCAGTATTTCCCACAAACTAACCCAAACTAACAGAACAGCAAACAGTATGCATTTAAGATTTAACTCTGAGCATAAAGTGGGTAAGAGAAAGGAGGTAAATGAGAAAGATGCAATCTCCCTTCTCTGAAGTCTTTCAGCATAGGGTTTCTCAAAGCCTACATATAGTAACAGAGATCCACTCTGATTAGAGGCAAGAAGATGGATGAAATATCTATGCAGAATTACCAACCCTGGACTTCACTGTAATAAACAGATATAGATACCTCAGGTAACACCTGAGGAATTCCTTTAAAACATCAATCTTATTTACACCTAATCTTTCTAAGTAATATTAAAAATCCTCTCGAAAGAAAATTAAGCCTGTCAATTCAAAGAGAAGCACAGTTCTAATGTCAACTTTTAAGATCATGGTTCTTCTTCTGTTCTGTTACTTATAAATAGCCCAATATAGAGAAGGAACACGAAACTTTCTTTTAAACAAGTAAAAATAAAATGGGCTTTAAACATCTCTCTGAAAGCCTCTTCTTTTTTTGGGGGGGGGTTTACATACCCCTTTGGGAATGTTTTATTAATGATGGAGTTACTTCCTGGAAAAATGCACATAGATACACATGTTACAAACTATGTACACAACCTTGAGGACTTCCCTTCGGTCCCATGCACCACAAGTTAAAATCGCTCTACTAAATCTAACTGAACAAAGCAAAGTTCATCAACACAACCTTTTCAAAGATAAAATAATTCTAAATAGCAGAAAAACTATACTTGCTTAATTATTCATAACTCAGATGTGGCTTTCAAGTGACAGACTTAAGAACCAAAAGTCTTTATCTCTATAAAACACTGATGTTTCCAGACTTTAAAAATGAAAATAGTTACCTCATTATTCACTTATGGATTTTCTAAGACTTAATAATACCTAAATAGTATTCATCCAAGAAATAACATGATTTTAATAGCAACCTAAATAAAAACAAGCATGTTATTATAGCTATAAATATGCAAGATTTTTAAAATTGTCTGCTATTCTAAATTATTCAGATCTGGCTCCTCTCCAATAAATAAAGGTAACTAAACTACATTGAACAAATTCCCCCTACAGAGCTATTTTCTTTTAAGAAACTTAAAAAATTTTTAAAGACTTAGACCAGAAGGTTCTGTATAAGTGGAAATGGCATCATTCAACCATGCTAGCATTGCGTGCCCAAAAGTGTAGACTAGGTCTTCACTCGACAGAGCTGGACACAACAGTTCCCCTCAGAGAGAGCAAGCCCTGCCAAAGACATGATAATCGGCCCAGACAAAGGCACATACCATGGTAGCTGGGTGACAGGTGAATGTGCTGTGTTCCACACCATCCTTGGGCAGGTCGGTCCTGGAGAAATGCTGAGACAAGAGCTGGTCTGACCACTGGGGTTCGGAGGAACAGAGCTGAGGAAAGAGACATCAAGGGAATCATAAGCACCTTCCCTGTAATGGGATTGAGACTTTCTAAATGACCAGAGATAAGCTGCTGCTGCTGCTCAACTGCTTCAGTCATGGCTGACTCCATGTGACCCTATGGACTGCAGCCCACCAGACTCCTCTGTCCATGGGATTCTCATTGCCATGCCCTCCTCCAGGGGATCTTGCCAACCCAGGGATCGAACCCAGGTCTCCTGCATTGCAGGCCAATTCTTTACCACTGAGCCACCAAGGAAGACCCACAGGTAAGCTACTTAACCCCAAAGAGGGAATAACCATCTAATCTGTAAAATGTGGACAGCATCTACTTCACTGGCTTGCTATGAGACTAGACTAAGCAGCCATGGAAAGACTGATAAATCAATGAGCACTTCTGCAAAAAGGGCTTCACTCTGACCAATTCTTAAAAATTAATTATGGCTCTTTTATCCTCTCATTCATCTACTCATCCAACAAACTTTTACTACACACAAAATTATGCTCTGCACAACAGCAAGAGAGATAAAGACAAAGTCTTTGTCTTCAAGTATTTCAGCCTAGCTTGGGAAATACCACTTTCTTTTTCAAGATCAATTTCTGTGCTTGCACTCTTGAACTCATCCCTTTCTGTCCTCTTATAGATCTTGTCTCTTGGTTGAAAACTAGGCAGACCTAAGAACACCCAAGCCTATCAATACCAGCTTTGAGATAATGGGCAATTAAGTTAAATAGGCTCTCCAAGACTCAATGTCCTCATTTGTAAAATGAAAACATTGGTATTTACTTCATAATACTCTGCTGAAAATTATATAATACATATAAGATGTTCAGCCTAAGTCCCACAATGTTATAAGCACTCAATAAAAGATAATTTCTCTCCTGTATCTTTAACCCCTCCTTTCTTCCTACTGACCATTTTCCCTCAACTGATGTAATATACTTAACCCCTCCCTTCATCCTATGTCCTGTAATGCCCATGCACTCTTCCCCTCCTTTCTTCTCTTTCTAAACATGCTTCTTTAAAGTGTTGTCTAAATCATGTTGACTTCCTCACTTCCCTAAAATTCTTCACGGCTTGCAACTTGTCCTTATCCCCACAAAGCTGCCTTCATGAATCACCAATGTTCTCATGTGGCCACATCCAACAGTCTTCAACTTATTGGGCTTTTCTGCACCATGAGGCACTGGTGCCCGCTTCTCCCTTCTTTTCTCTGACAGAACTCTCTTCAGCTTCTCCCTTTGATTCTCTGATCATTATATATCAGTCTCCTCCTGCATCTGCTCTTAAATGCTCATCCAGGAGTCGATCATCTGCCCTTTGCTCTCCTTGCTGCCTAGGCCCACCCCTAGACATTTTGTCCACTCAACTTCTAGAGCCTTTAGGTTGGTGACACTCAACTCTGTACCACCAGGCCTGATCTCTCGCCAGAATCTGGAAGTATGAGTACCTGCAAGCTCTCTCCCCTGAGGTACCCCACCTGGTCCTCAAACTTACTATGGCAAAAACTAAAATCACCCTTCAACTCGCTTTCTCATTCAAACTTGCCTCTCATTTGCATGTTCCTCCTTTTATTTAATGATATCCCAGTCACTCTTCAACCTAAACCAGAAATCTGGAAATCATGTAAGACTTCCCTTCTTGAATTTAGAAGCCAAATACCAAACCATACTGATATAACTCCTTAGCATTTCTTGAGACAATCTTCTCTTACGTATTACTTTCCAAGTTCGGGAGCTCACCATGCCTGCCTAGACTACTACAATAAGTGTCTCAATTCATCTCCTAACTTGGGTCTTAGCTTGTCCCATCTCCCATAATGGCTGTCAATATCACACAGTTACCAAGGTGGTAAATTTAACTGCAAATCTATGTCAAATCTTTCACCAGCTCCCCTTCACACAAAGAAAAATGCATATTCCACATCAAGACAAATTTTTCTGAGATTTGACTTCAGTTCACTTTTCCAAAACCAACTCATTCCTCACCGTGAGCTTCATGTTCTAATATCCAATTTGTCTTCTCTCACAAAAAGCAGTTTCTATGTCTTTCATCATTGCTTCTGCTCATCCCACTAGCTCTAACTGTAATGCCCTTCTTCCTGTGGCCTTCCTTACCCTCAAGACTCAATCAGGTACAGCTCCTTCAGGAAGTGAGACAGGATAATCCTTCCAAAACACAGAGCTAGTATAGTCTTCTGGATTGGCATACAACTTAGATACTGTGCTGCAGTTTCTGCTTCATGTCATATTATGCTTATATGAGTTTTTCCTGTAAAAATGGAAACTCTTTAAGGGTTGGAACTATGCTTTCTCACATTTTTAACCCATCATACTACAGTACCTTGTATAACACAAATGCCCCCTTAAATGATTATCGAAACGACCAATAGGTAAATTGGGACTTAGACACTGACACTCTTTTCTGCTTCAGGGTGGGAACATTCCAAAGACAGGGAATGCGGAGAAAAAGACAACTCGTGAACACAGCCGCAGCAGGACTATAACTTTCAGACTACCCCATCACCACGTCAGCCCAGAGCAGGGGAAATATGCACTCCGGCGGACATCTAGACCCGAAGACAACGCTAGTCATGCTGTGCCAAAGGAAAGGAGGGACTGACCCCCTGTTCAAAAGGTCTCACCGCCCAGCAGATGAATCCTAACCGCATCCCTTTCCCCGGCTGGAGGCTGTGCTAAGAACCTCCTGCTGCCCTCACCTCGCCCTTCTCTGGCGCCGCAAAGGACACTCAGCCTCCAGAGAGTCGCCATGTCGCTCCTGAAGGTTCAAGGTCAACCAGCAACCCGGAAGCAGTCACACGACAACATCCGCCCGCGAGGACGGAAGAAAACATGGAAAAGGAAAACGCCGCGTGAACCGGAAGTCGGGGTCGGCGGGCCCGCCGCACATGCGCAGATAACTCTTCGGAAGGTCGGTAACCGGACACAAGATGGCGGAGCTGGGTGAGGCGGACGAAGCCGAGTTGCAACGCCTGGTGGCGGCCGAACAGCAGAAAGCGCAGTTTACTGCACAGGTGCGGGGACGGGGACTAGTGTGAAGAGAAAGGAGGATGAAGTACAAGTCCCGGGCACTCGCGGAGCTCTGAACGCTGGCGGCGCAGGGCAGCCGCCCGCCACTCCGTGCTTGCTGCGCGTGGTTCTGCTCACTAAAGAAACGAGTCACTTCTGCCACTGGTGACCTGCAGTGCTCAGGTGCCCTGTGAGCATAGCGTAGGGGAAAGAGAAGGTGTAAAGCGAAGCAAAAAGGTTCGGGCGACCCAAGTGCACGGAAGCCTAGTTTGGTGGCGAGCTCTCTAGGCTGGCATTGGGAGGACCCAGCTTCTCATACTGCTCTGTCCCCTACAGGCCACGTGCCCCTAAACACAACACCCATCCACCGTTAGGTCTTGGTTTCATAGTTGCCTGTTGTCTCACAGGATGTCGATAATAATGTATTTGAAAACGATAGAGTAGTAGTATTTGGATGAAAGTGGGCCCTGAAGTAGTCAGTCTAGACTATTAGGTTAAAACAGGAGCTTCGGAGCATGGTTCCAGCCCCGGCCTTGACCTTTACTAACTGCGTGATTTTGGATTTGTTATTTACCGTGCCTCTTAAATGGAGGTGACAGTCATTCTTTAGGACCTCAAAAAGAATTGACGTACTACTTAGTACCCCAGCCTCCCGAAATAGTTAAGCCCTTGGTAAATGGTTACTCCCCGCGGGGAGTGGAGGTGGTGGGAAGGGGAGGGCTCTCGGAAGATAAGTGGCGAGAACCCTGGTTGGAAATCTTTGGATCCTGAACATTTTGAAAGCACACACATTTTCTGTGAGCATTTTTCTTTAGACTGGGTCCATAACCTTCATTGGATTCTCAACATATGTCCCTGACCCCCAAAAAGTTAACAACTTAAGAACTGCTAAGGAATAGTCTTAGAATGAGATGAGTGCAGTGGTTTGGGGGAATTAATTGGTACCATAGCTTTCCCAGCTTACATTGGTGTTAGTTTGGGAAAAAGTTATCAATTCTACCTGCAGTTTTACAATCTGATTAAGGACGTGACACAGAAAATAATGGTGCTCTCAAGGAGGTGATAATAAACTGGAAAAACCTTCAGGGAGGAGTATTGAGGGCCCAGTTAAATGCTGTGTGTGAACCTACCTCATTGAAACACATTGGTTGGGTGTTAAATAAGGGAGTGCCCTGAGTGACTGACAAAGAAACATGCATTAGGCCCAGCACTGGGGTGACTTGATCAAAAGTACCTATTTTTCAGTTACTGAGGAGGAGAAAAATAGACAAGGAAAGGATGAAAGTATTGTTGCAGGGTAGGAATGAGGAGTTGGACTGTATTGGTGACAAATTAGGAAGCGAGGAAAGAGTCAAAGAATGGTTTAGTCAGGTGACAGAAAATGAGAAAAATGGGAAGGAAATTCAGAGATAAAGCCTGTCAGCAGACCTCAAGTAGTTATTTTTTTTCTTTCCTCTTAGGTGCATCACTTCATGGAGCTATGTTGGGATAAATGTGTGGAGAAGCCAGGGAATCGCTTAGACTCTCGCACTGAAAATTGTCTGTCTAGCTGTGTGGACCGCTTCATTGACACTACTCTTGCTATCACCAGTCGGTTTGCCCAGATTGTACAGAAAGGAGGGCAGTAAGCCATCCCCTGGAAGAATGACACAAGCAGCAAAGGACTTATTAAGCAGACTGAAGGGCCAGTGGGGGAAGGTTGTCAGCCCTCTGTTAGGTTAACTTCAGGCTGTTACCAAGCCTGTTGGTGCTAAAAAGTAACAGATCAAATGTTCAAAGTGAAATTTATTTATTGGGAATTCAGAAACTCCATCTTGTATCACAACAATATATTCAATAAATGTGAATTCTCCAACTCTCTTTTTTAAAATCCCATTTTGGAATTTAATATATAGATCTCTGATTGGTAGGAACATTAGAAATAAATATGTTCCAAGGCCACTAGTTGTGCAAATGAGAGATCTTAGGTTTTAAAGAGCCATCCTAAGCCATATTTAAGGGGGTGGGAAGAACCATCAAAAGCCTTAGCCTTAAGGCATCAAAGAGAATTTGGGGTTGAGAAAGGTGAACAACAGAAAACAGCTTTATTGCTTATACATGACCAAGAAAAGGTAAACATGGCAAAAAACAAAACAGGCAAGATGTGTGTTCACTGGCAAAGAGGCCTGCTAGTATGAGAGGAAGAGAAAGTCAAGACCCAGACAGAATCAACTTCCTGGAGAAGCCCTGTTCCACTGGCCCATCTTCCTGAGTCTGTGCTTAGAATCAAAACTTTTAGAGCACAGAAACAATGCTTAAAAAAAAAAACCCAGGAGCTGAAAACTCCTTCCCACAAAGATTTCACTTGCTCCAAGAAGAAAACAAATGCTTTAGGTTAAGAGGTAGTAATTATAGACTGTTTTTCCCTACTTGGGCCCTTAATGTCAATGTTAAAAATATGCACCATGGAACATCAGCAGTTGAGTACCAAAGTACTAATATTTCAAATAAATATCCCAAAAGGTAGCACCTGCTTAGAGTCAAGGGCTAGGGAACCTCTGGCCAACTGTTTATGACTAAGCATTTTATTAGAAATCTGTTCTGTAAAGAGAACAATTTAATAGTTCAGAGCTACAAAATATTACCACCTCATGGAATGTTGTCAGTCTACTGCTGGTGTCACACACTGTCAGGCTACCATGAAGTATTTCTGTATTAGACATGGGGAAAGTAAGGCCAGGGAGGTTGACTTACCTGCTCCAAACCTCATAACCAATTAATGGCAGAACCAAGACCAAAAGTGAGCTTTCAAGATTTTTACTCAGCCCATGAAGTGACAGCCAGGAAAAAACAATGTCACTTGATCTGCCATAGTAAATATAATTCGTGTTCTGCCAGCTTTCTTCCAGCGAGTTTGGTTTCTTAAGAATTAATGTAGTAGGATCACCATATATAGCAAAGGGAAATAACAAGATCTCTGCTTGGCGCTTTAATCCAAAGGCAGACTAGGAAGAAATGGATATGTCCCTGAGAAGCCTACTTCATTTTGGAATCGATTCAACCTAGTTTCAAGGGAAATCTACAAGGTCATTAACTAAGAAATGCACAAGGAAGACAACATTTAAATGGCTGTTGCTGCCCTGAATCCTTTTCAGCACACGATGAGATAGCATGGCTGATGCCTAATTCTTCATTTGGTTGAGGACTTAACCAAGACATCTGAAGAAATAATTTTGAATACAAGTGCATTTAGGTAATAAACAGTGGAACTGGAAAACCTTTTACTATCCAATTACCCATGTTTAGGGGTATACTGAGTATAGCCACAGACCCTGTCCAGCAGGGAAATTTGACAAAAACCTCTAGTTTCTACCAATAACAGCTCTCTCAGGATGTTATCATGAATTAAAAATGTTCTTATGCTCATTTCCTTATTATGTAAACTGGACCACATCTGATAGGGCCAAAATACAGAAAAGATCAAAGCACCAAGGCTAAAGACAGTCAAGTTGTGGCACCTATTATATAATAGACAAGAGCAACAAGATATTCCCTCATCATACCATTCTATATAGCACTAGCTCAATCCATCTCTTGACCCCAGCCCTTGCTTTCCCCAAATTCAACACTGCAACTGGTATACCCAGGTCTTTACTGGATTGTTTTCTGGGTCCTTTAATTTGCTGCATATGCACTCTACCCTAAATGTCATTAATCACAAAAAATAATCTCTTCAAGAAACCTTCATAACAAAATAACAGATTCCCTATTAACAATAAGAGGATCAAGTTTAACAGGCCAAAATAGACAAGACGTCTGTCAGAACATATATAGATGGCACAGGACAGCTCTAACCTCAGGCCCTGTGCTGAGCAGTAGCATCACTGGTAAACCCCAAGGCGTAAGAACTGTAAATATCCAGAGTCATGCAGAAAACAAGAATGCTTTCTCATTTAGTCATCCTCTGAACTTTCGGCAGATCTTTCATCTGTAGCCACTTTCCAATTTGTGCGTTTGTTTGTCCTCTCCTGTGTTTCATTGTTAACTACAGGGATATGAGCTTTTTTCTCTCTCTTTTTCCTTTTGGTTTTCTTAGTGTCTCTTTCCTCACTTTCCTCAGAACTGCTGGATGCAGAATCATCTGATGGGGAAGTGTCACTTTCTGCCTCTAAGAATAAAGGAGATTTCTTGAGAGACTTTTTCCTGGATTTTTTCTTGCGTTTATGTGGTTGCTTCCTTTTCCTGGTACTAGAAGCCCCAGTTTCTTCTGAGAACTCGCTTGAGGAATCTGCTGTTATATCTGTGGCTTCCTTTTTGCTCTTCTTCTGTTTTTTGTGTGACTTTTTTTTCTGCTTTTTTTTGTGGGACTTCTTTGACTTCTTGTGTTTGTGAGATTCATGGGTAGATGATTTTACCTGGGGAGATGTTTTTTTCCCATTGGTAATATCTTGCTGATCACTACTAATAAAAAAGAAAAACTGCTTTACTGTAGAAAATATAAAGTGTATTTATATAATTTTTATATTCTGCTTTCTAGATGGGAAGTTGGGGTTAACATCTGAATTTTAAATCAAAGCTTTGATACAAGCGTACCATGAGACTTTATCACTGAGTTTTGTTTCCTCATTTTTAAAATGAAGATAAAAATTCTTATCTGCCATACTGAGTTACTATATAGGAAAACTGTATATAAAACCTACATGCTATAGATGAGCCAAATGTCAGTCAGGGAAAGGCAAAGTATCAGTCCTCTCCCAACTAAACTGCCTATTATTTCTCTGGTTATATTTTTAATGGCAAATGTCATATACTTCATAATAAATTAGGAATTTCATTTATAATTTAGACTTTGTACTAATCTTAGTTTCTATCTTTTTTCCAGTAAGCCTACTTGCCTTACCTGTCTGTTTCAAATTCTTCAGGGTATAACTCTTTATATCCACTGTGGCCCCATCTGTAAGATAATGTTTTATTATACATATTACTAAAGCAATGCATACATTTCTTAAAACTAAGACAAATTAGACTTACGAGTGTATACACACACAGACACATACAGAACAAAAAAAAGATATGGAAGAGCCAACACCACATTTATAGATCAGTAACTTGGTTACATTTTCCATACTATACACTTTCATTTCAGAAACAAAGGATTCCTTTATCCATTTGTAAGAAAACTTGCCATTCTCTTCCTTAAAACATTGAGGAACTCTTAATACTCTGCTTTTCAGCTGTGAAATATGTCTCCAAAAGCACTTCATAACATAATGCTGTCTACCTTGGGACAACTTTTTTAAATAAGTTAATTGAGGTATAATTCATATACCATAAAATTCACCCATTTACAGTGTACGATTCAGTGGCTTTTAGCATATTCAGAGTTGTGCAATTCTGAATCACCACTATGATTTTAGAATATTTTCATCACCCCACACAAAAAAATCCATCAGCAGTTACTCCATTCCTCCATCTCCTACAGCCCATGGCAACCACTAATCTACTTTCTGTCTCTATAGAATCATATAATAAGTGGCCTTTTGTGTCTGACTTTTCTCACCTAGCACAAGGTTTTCAAGGTTCATCCATGTTCTAGCAGGTAACAGTACTTTATTCCATTTACTGCAAATAACATTGCATTACCATTCCATATACCACATCTTGTTTATCCATTCTTTAACTGACAGACATTTGGGTTTCCACTTTTTTGGCTATTATGAGTATGCTATGAACATTTCTGTAATAAGTTTTTGTGGGGATAATTTTTAAAAGTACACATTCTCAGGCCAAATATCACTAATGGTCATATGAATTTAGTCACAGACCTGTCTGGCATGTTAGCTTCATAATCATGTAACTTCTTGTTCCAGGATTTAGCCTTAAGAAAACCATCATCCAGTGCTCCACAAATTTCATTCTTTGGCCTCCAGTAATCTCTTTGACTTTCTTCATCAAAACCATCACTGCGCATCCGGCTATAAGAGAAAAGAGAAGAACTTTTAGATACAGAAGCAATCTGTAAGGTTACTTTATGGAATATCATGCACAAAACTCACTGAACAAGCTAAAAGGAGACCAAAACAACCTAATACTTTTTTTATAACCTGATACTTAATGTTAAAAATATATATCTTTTTAACATTATGTCCTCTCTTAATTGGTACAGTTATTCAATGAAAATATGATCATCACTACCCCTCCTACTGCAAAGTACAGACAAAATAACTTTTGGGACTGGGGCATGTTATACTTCACTCACTGATTCTGAAGGAAGCAGACCAATAATCACAGCTGGGGACACCTCCAACTGCCCCAGTGATTTTGAGATACACTCCCTTCCCTAACACCAGCTCCTACTGTAATTAGATCACAGTAACAGTGGTAGCAAGGTGTAACCCATGAATATGTTAGAGTAGAAAAACAGTTATGAACTACTAATCTAGCCTGTGCCTACAAAATCCCACTAACAAGTCACTAAGCCAGCTAAGAGGTTATCAAAAATGTTTTAGGGCCTCCTACATGCCTATGAGGCACGGTTGCAGCTGCAGGACTATAATGGGAAATGAGCAATCAAAAAACTGCCCCTAAAGAAATTATGTTTTAAAGACTTATTCATCATGACAGGCATTAATAGTCCACTCCAAAAGAACAGTATTTTGTTCTGGGATGTTACTAGGAATTGAATAACCAACACAAAACAAATCATCATCTGCACTAAGTACTTCCAAATTCTCAAAGAACCATCCTCAGAAAGAAAACAGACTGAAATGGTCTTTATTTTTATGCTGAGACCTTGCCATGTTTACCATGGATACCCTGGATACTTTCTTGGGGAAAGCTGTTCACAGAGTCAGTCGCTCCGAAGCCCACACGCTCAGCAG